AGATAGTGGAGAAAATAACTGAGACATACAAAGATTGGCATGAAAAATTACCTTTTGCTCTATTCGCTTATCGAACCTCGGTACGATCTTCGACTGGGGTAACCACATTCTCATTAGAATATGGGATGGAGGTAGTACTGCCCATTGAGATAGAGATTCTGTCACTCCGGGTCTTGTCATAAGTTAAACTAGATGATGTAGAATGGGTCTAAATTCGATATGATCAGTTGAACCTAATAGAGGAAAAGAGGTTGAATGCCATTCATCGTAGTCAACTATACCAGAAACGAATGATCCGAGCACATAATAAAAAGGTGCACCCAAGAGTATTCCACGAAGAGGATTTTGTACTAAAGAGGATTTGGCAAATCCAAAAAGATTTCACAGGAAAATGGTTGCCAAATTGGGAAGGACCATATGTCGTAAAAAAGGCTTTCTCCGAAGGAGCACTGATTCTGGTTGAAATGGACGAGCCGAAATTACCAAATCCTGTTAATTCGGATGCAGTCAAAAAAATATTTCTCTTAGGTTGAAAACACAAAAGGGCGCCCTAAGTTGAAAAAAATCATTTAGGGTGAAAACCCGAAAGGGCGCCTTAAATTGAAAAAAAATGGGTCCAAGATGAAAACCCAGAAAGGGTGTCTTGAGACTAACATCCAAGTTGAAAACTAGAAAGGGCAATTTGGATGAGGATTCAAGAAAGGTTTTGTGTCACGACATCCAAGTCTTCTGCAGACGTAACGATTAAGGGAAATGTGACATTTCCGAACATTATCACATTTTCAAAGTCCCCTTGACAAAGGTTGTACTCAAAATTTATCTAACAGTATATCAGTTCAAAGGCACCCGCATTATCGAGATCTAAGGCATCTACTTATATTTCTTTTTGACTTTCCAAAATGTTTGTCATAAACTTTGTTCTTTTTTCCTTATAAATAAATATGACCATTTCTCTAAGTCAATTCCTTTTAAGCATCTTGGTTTGAATTTAAACTTAATGATTTATTCACTTTTGAAAAGATAATTGTGTATTATTGTGCAAAGACTTTCTTGAAATGTACAAGTATTCAGAAGTTGACCAGGGCTTATGCACTATACTTGAGATAACTAAAAGATATTACCCAAACCAAGACTAAAAATAAAACTATATACATCGGATTTAAACATAGTGAAGAATCCAAGATCAATATCAGAAATTCAAGATTCCGGAATCAAAATTCATCAGGACTGACAACCAGAGATTGAAGATTTCCCTCCAAATCCTAGAATAACATATCTAACATATGCATTTTAGGCACGCATAAGAACATTGCATCCATAGCATCGCATATGTGCATAATTTTGCATATTCTTGTTAGAGTCAATTTCAACTTCACAGCGAAGGATATTAAACTCCAGACAATGCGATTTACAAGATTCGATTTCAACTTCACAACGAAAGACATTCAATTCAAAGCTCAACTTCACAGCGAATGAGCCATCCACGATTTTAACTTCACAAAGAAGGATATCGTGCTCATTGGATTGACTTAGTGTCACAACAAATGAGTCATCTGCAACAATAAGGAGCTACCTCCCAGCATAGTACAATATAACTCAAGGCGAGAAGAGTTATCTATTAACAAGAGCCTTCGAGTTCGTTAACATTCAACTCGAGGACATATTTACCGCAAGGTAGCATAAAGGGACTACTTTCCAGTCAAATTTTTCACAACAAGGTCTTTAAATTGAGAAGAGAACCAACGTTGACTATGATTTAGCAACACAGAGCCACTTTCCAATTCAAATTTTGAACTACGATGTCAACTTCAAAACGAATGATATCATATTCAAAGACATCTCAAGAGTCACCCGCAGTACAACTCAACAATAAGGAGCCATCCTTTTTCTTCAAGTCTCAATTCCACAGCAGATCGTAGTTGATAAAGATTTAACAGCAACATGGAGTTGGATTTTAAACTCAGAAGTTGACAACTCCCACAGGAACATGCTTGTTTCCAAGCCCATATGTCGAACGAAAATTTGTATTTTTTTGTCTTTGCCCTATTTTTGTTACACGATAATGGGCAAAGAGGGGTAGCTGTAGTCATTCATTTTCATCCGGGGTTTTTTTTAGTATATATATAAGATGTAGTATATAGTTTGTTAAAAAAACATTTTGAAAATATATATATATAATATGTAGTTTTTAAAAATATTTTCAATATATATATATAATATGTAGTTTTTTGAAAACATTTTAAAAATATATATATATAATATATAGTTTTTGAAAATATTTTGAAAATATATATAACATATAGTTTTTGAAAATGTTTTGAAAAAATATATATAATATATAGTTTTTGAAAACATTTTAAAAAATATATATATAATATATAGTTTTTGAAAATATTTTGAAAAAATATATATAATATATAGTTTTTGAAAACATTTTGAAAATATATATAATATATAATTTTTAAAAAATATTTTTAAAACATTTTCATGTATTATATTTTATTATTTATTATATTATTATTATATTTTCTTTTTCTTTTTTTATTTTCTTTTTTAATTTGGTCCAAATAGTTTTAAGTCCAAGAGGCCCAGTAGGGAACCCAACTGGACAAGCAAGCCTGAACCAGCAAACCGACCCGGCCAGGAGCCCAGCACACCAACTCGATCTGAGTTTGCCTGACCCAATGAATTAGGGTTTCCAATTCAAGAAAAAGCACTTCACGATCTTGAGCTGTTGGATCTATAGCCAATCCAAAGGCCCAAAACAAATATCGATCTTAGGTTTTTCAATAGCCATCAACCGCCATGGAGTTCGACCAATTTGAAGAAACCATCCCCTAGTGGGAAACAATTTTTTTCCAGCAACAACAACAATCAACCGAATAACGTAATTTCGTAGGATTAAAAAACAACCAAAAACATGTATTTCTATCCTAATGAAATTCTAAATCGAACGAAAAATGGACTCTTAATGCTATAAATCCCTGTAAAAATGAAACAAAAAAAAACAGAGAAGATCGAGGAAAAAGCACTTGTAAACTTCGAAAAGAAAATAAAATAAAAAAGATATTCCCTTTCTTTTTTGGTTCATTTGTATGTGGTTGTATGGGGTTTGTGTTGTTTTTTATTTAAAAAAAAGAAAGAAATTGTTGAGGATCTAAGAAAAAAGAGAACTTTTTTTTCGAAATATTTTTTTTCAGATCTAGTTCTCTACGAGGCTCTTTTGTGAAAACTAATCGGTGATTTGGACAAAGGGGAACAATAGCTTTCGAATGGTGTAAAAAAAGTTTGGTTTCCCGCCGATGAAAGGCGGCCGATGCCAGTTCACGACGGTCGACGAGGCGGCGCACGATCGAAATTTGGGTTCGTATGAACCCCGACTGAGTGTTCTTCATAAAACCTATTTTGTGCTTTAAATTCGATTTTAATTTTAATTTTTCTTTTAAATTCACCCTCACTATATTTTATTTTTCAATTTGGTCCTTTCTTTCTTTCCTTATTTCATATTTTATTTTATTATATTTAAAAGACTACCACGCTTAATGAGTCATTAATTCGATAATAATCGTTCTTTTATTTTTATTTTTTATTATCTCTTTTTTTTTATTTCAGTGTTAGTAATTTTTATCTTTGTTTAATTTTGCAATTGATAAAATTTTTTATTTTTAATTTAATTGATTTTTTTCTTTACATTATTTTTATTACTTTGTGTTTTAATATGTGTGATTTGTTTTTGTTTTATTTATTTTAATTTTCCATTATGTTAATTTTATTTTTCGGCATGTATATATATATTTCTACTTTGTTTAAAGTATTATAATTTAACTTTTGTCTCTTTTTTCTTTTGATTAATTCAATATTTCATTTTTTTAACATTTTTTTGCTCTTTTAGGGGTACTCTTAAATCAATCAAAGGTAAATAACTAGGATCGAATTTTTACCTTTTAATTTAACTTATAATTTTCTTAATTAAGACAACTGAAAATTAAATTAGTACCGAAACGGCAGTACAAGAGTGCTAATCCTTCCTTGACTATAACTGACTCTCGAATCTGACATATTTCTGGTAAAACGCAAATCAGGTAATTTTTCATTGATCAACTTAAATATTATTTTTTAAATGATCGATGGCGACTCTAACCCATTTATTCAAGTTGAAGCCAATTCCGGGCCCAACCCGAAAGATGGCCGTGACAAAAATATTTAAATAAATATATTTTATTTAAAAAAAATCAATTATAAAATTTATCAATAATTTGTACATATTTTTCCAAACACTTAAAAAACCCAAAACTAAGTTGTAGATAAAGTGTGAGTTTGTTAGAAAGGATTAATCATTTCAATGTAGTAAACCTTTGTGGGACTTATGAACACTGTGGTGGTATCTTGTCTATGAGCTCATGAAGAATAATTCTTTAAGAGAATGACTTCAGAATAAAAGTTGTCAGAAATTCGTTATATGAAATTATAAAATTTAAATTGCTTTAAATATTCCTAATGAGCTCCATAGCTTTATCACTCAACATATGTGCATAAAGATATTTGTAGTGACAATAATTTGTAGTTGCATTGTTGGGATTAAATAATCTTGAATATAATGGATGGTGTGTTTAGAAGCAACAATAATCAATAAAACGCTTGACAATAAATAACATAAAAAAAGGAGAGCATTGATTGTCAAATAATCTAAAAAACTTTTAAGAACATAATTTTAATGTCATATCAATATTTGTTTATCAACAGTTTATAATGATAATTATAATGAAAAATAAATTAAAATTTTAATAATTATATTATAAGTTTTAAAAATTTAGTGATCAAAATATAAATACCTTAAAACCCCAATAACTATTTTGCTAATTTACTAATTTATTCCTGACTACATTGAAAGGTTAAATGATCATTTAATAGGTTAAAAGTGGAATAACTATTTTATTAGTTCACAAGTTCAATAGGTTTGGGTGCTAAAACAGACGCTTTGAAAGTAGCAAGTACGAAATTTAAAGATTTGTTATAGCTTAAGGACCATTTAGGCCATAATCCTTGTGTATCGAAATTCCACCAGAGTACGTAATTGATAGAACAATTACAGATTAAAACACAACCCAACTTGTAATTTTCGACTGAACCCTAAAATTCTGCTTCGATTGCAATCCCTAAACCCTAAAATCATCTAGCCCCCGAATCCATACAGAGTCCTACCTTGCCTCTTGAGCGCGTAGACCACATCCATGGCGGTCACCGTCTTCCTCCTTGCATGCTCGGTATAGGTCACGGCGTCGCGAATGACGTTCTCCAGGAATATCTTGAGAACTCCACGGGTTTCCTCGTAGATCAAGCCACTGATACGCTTTACTCCTCCCCGTCGAGCAAGGCGTCGAATCGCCGGCTTTGTGATGCCCTGTATATTATCGCGGAGGACCTTACGGTGGCGCTTCGCTCCTCCCTTTCCCAGCCCCTTACCTCCCTTTCCTCTTCCTGACATCTTCAATCAAATATAAAAAAAATTGAACTATTCAATTGGGTATTTGTGGGGAAGAACAAGATTGTGAGGGGATTTATTGGGGGAAGTGGGAGTTCAAAGTTGGGACTGTGATCCGTGAGAAAATCTTAACGACGAATTTTGGCCGTTGATGATATACGGGAGATGGTTTAGATGAAAACAAGTATTGACTCGGATGGATGACCTGGCAAACTTTTGCAGTTACTTTAAGCGTGTTTTCTTTGATCTAATTATCATGCTTCCCCCGTACTTTTTGCTTACTTTAAAATTTAATCCCTCTACTTTTGATACTTTAATTTATTATCGCTCCATCCAAAATAATACTCATTCTAAAACAAAATAATGGTAACACTCGAAAAAAAAATTAGATATATAACATTCTAATGAATCATGTAGGTTAAAGACTCTTGAATTAGGAAAATTCTAAAATAGATATTAAATATGGACATCTATCACTAATTTTATAATTAAATTCATAAATAGATATTAGATTGTATTAAAATTATCTTTTTGGATATCAGACTTTCAAAGGTTATATCACTACAAGAAAATATACCTTTAATGACACACGCTAAATTATGACTTGGAAAAAATATGTGTCATAAAAAATGTCATGTTTCTTAAAATCTGGAAGATTTATGACTTACAATAATGTGTGTCATATTTAATAGTCATAATCCAAAAATTTTAGCAAACACACGGAGTACACTTTTCATTGTGTGTCATCTCTAAAAGTCGTCTTTTAATTCCCCCCCTAATTTTCATCACGTACGCATGCTTTCCTGCTTCTAGTCCTCCTCGATCATCAGTTCACACTAAACCTATGTTTCATTTTTTTCTCATTGCATCAGTTCACGCACGCATGCTTCCCCCCTTTTTCTCTTTGCATTCCGATTAGCACAGCCGAATCTGCACTCTCACAAGGCCTCTCAGTCGATCCACTGGTTTCTCCATTCAACACAACACAGACGAAATATAGCAACAGTTCAAATATTCAAGTCAAACAATTTGCACTCTCACAAGGCCTCTCGATCTACTAGTTTCGCCATTCACCACAACGCAAACGAAGGGAATCAAAATTCAAGGGTTCCCACAGGTATTCCTTGTTCTCTATTCCACCATTCAATTTAGGTTTCTGGTCTTACGAATTACTTATGTTATATTCCTGTGAATTTGTATGTAAAACCCTTTATATGTTGCAACGGGAGAAACAATGTGTGTTTGTTAATGTTCATTTTAACTGAAACTCAAAGTGGTGTGTTATCTTCGGTGGCTGACATGATTTTCCGTAATATGAGCAGTAAACCAAGCAACTCTTACTTTCTTTTCCACTAGTGCCATAGTGTTAGGCATATGTGAAGACATGGAGTTTGCTTTTCCAGTTATCTGTTCTTCTTTCTTGTCTACCAAACAATCATGAAACTTAAACTTCTACGGAATTCCAACTTTTGGGTATGGTTAATTTACTAGTGAATTAGGGTTTATAAAGAATCATTGGGTGAATTAGAGAAGGTGAAAGTGGAGATAGGCTAGAACACGAGATTCGATCAACAATAATTTAAGGGCATGGAAGATTGATTTGATCTACAGTTGTTTATTTATTTATGATTTTCCATATCACATAATCACTAAAACCAAATACCCCCTTAAATAGACATTTTTCGACATTTTAAGAAGTATAAATTCCCATTTATTTGGATCCACTTGGATGTAAACTGTAGGAGAGCTGATTGACCTCTAGAAAGTTAATTAATCTTTCTTCTTGATTTTCTTTTCAGGGTCTTATAAACAGCCACTTAAATTTGCATATTTTATCATCATGTAGTTTGAGCTTCAGTTCTATTTGAAGAAATTTAATGAATATACTTGCATTTATTTACGTAGAAATTCTAACTACCAATTTGCAATAAGTGGTAGAGTTAGTATTTGTAAAGTTCATGTTTTTAGTGTTGATACTAAAAGAGAGAGATTTCTTGTCAATATAACAAAATTAGTAGGGAAATGGACTTTTGGTAAATCATATAAACAATGATCTATTTAGGTAGGGAAGATCATAAATTTTGAATTTTGTTTATAATTGGAACAGTTATTGACTCGGTATTAGCTCTTGATTGATACTAAGCAACTTAATTAAGGAAAAGAAGAGACGGTTGAGAGAAGTAAAGTAATATAGCATTGTGATTGCTGGTCAACTATATTGATCGAATCATATAGAATACGCTAAGTTAAAAATGAATAATTTCTATCATTTGTGCAGTTTAGGAACCTTGGCTTGTGGTTATCTGATTTCTCTCTAAAAAGTTGTTTATCGTTGCATAAAGGTTTATGTGGAAAGGTAATATTTGATAACTCAACATAAGAGGTGGATTTTGCAGATCATACATGAAAACCAATCATGTAGTTGGCATGCATTTTCATTCTTTTTCAAAGCATATAAAAGAGCAATACATGTTTATCTTCCAGTTTATTTGATTCATGAGCTTAAAGTACATCGCCAGGGACTTGGAAAACGGTATGTATTTGTTTGTCCCCTTGTCCTCAAAATAATATTTCTTACTCCTCTGCTCTAGATATGGTTTGTAGTTATGTGTTTTACTTTTATTTAACTAACCAGCGTTTTAATTCGCCAATTGTTAATAAAAAATTTCTTAGCTTTCAGCAAATTTGCATTGTAATCCTCCAATTTCTAGCATTATTTTATGTCAAACTAGTCAATTTGTGAACCCATCTACCAAATTTCTGTCTTCACCACCTGACCACATACGAACTGACTCCAACTAACCATTTCCAGTGAAGATGAAAGTATGAAATTTAGGATCATTTCGAATTTCGATGATCATCTATCCACACCTTTATTCTTCGTTCTTCTAAAGTCATTATAAGCAATTACCGTAACTATACGTGGAAAAAGAACACGATTATAAGGGCTTTTGTTTTATATTCTTTTGATTGTCTTGTAATTGTCTTTATAAGACCTACAAGTTATTTATATTACAAAGCGTTTTTTAGACTTAATATTTTACTTGATGTAGGCCTTTCACAATATTAGCTAAAGGTCTTTTTGGTACTGCAAGATCAAGCCTGTTTCTCTCCACATATTGTACTTCTGCCTGGTGAGCTTCAGTGAACAAATACACTTCATTTCTCTAGCTTAAAGAAATTTCCGGTTTTGATATGTAAGAGATGTCCATTTGGTACTTTGGCATCTATGCAAATGCTTCTTAATTGCAATTGAAATATGATTCAAGTGCACATCGTCTTGGGCATAAAAATCTTTGCCAAACCACTAACCTTGGGTTGACATTCCTCCAAATAGTATCCCAGTGCGATATGATTAACCCGATCAAACCCAGTTAGGTTCGACCAATTTTAACCTTTTGACCCGAATATTTCTTTATTATGAAAAAACATTTAAGTATAATTATGTTTAAAATAAACTCTAATTATGGATGTTAAAAATATTACAAACACACTTCAAAAGAAATATATTCATAAAGATTATGATTTCATCGATCTGAATCTTTCCTGGGTTACGAATCGTGAGTTAGGCTAGGAAAGTGAAAACTTTAATTTTAAGTTTAAGATATATAAACTAAAGTTAAAAAAAGGAATTGAAAAACAAGGTACAAAAAAAATGGTGTCAAACTGAAAGTACCATAATTATACAACTAAACTTGCTAGTTAAAACATATTTGTGTATATATATTGATAAAAATAATGTAGATATAAAAGATTTTTATATGTAGTAAGTGTGTGTATTTTTTTATTATGCAGTAAGTGTGTATTTAATATATATTCATGTGTGTTCTTTTTTATTATGCAGTAAGTGTGTGTATTTAATATATATTTATGTGTGTATGCTTTTTTTATTATGCAGTATGTGTGTGTGTTTAATATATATGTATGTGTGCTTTTATTATGCAATACGTGTGTGTTTAATGTATATATGAAATGTGTGTGAATGATTATAATATAAAGGGTGTGTGCTCTTTTATTATGAAATGTGTGTGAGTGAGTTTTTATAATATAAAGGGTGTGTGTGTTGTTAATGTGAAATGTGTGAGTTTTTATAATATGAGGTGTGTGTTTTCGAAAGGTAAACCATCGGAAGTAACTAACAACCAGCGAAAGTAATTAGCTTATTTCAAGTATTTTAGTCAACTTAGTGAACATTCCAAATAGGTCTTAAAAAATACACCAGCATAAAGAAAGCCAAGATTATACCATACATAAAAAAGTCAGCTTTTTTGACCAATTGCTCTATTCATATACCGGAAACAAATCAAGTCACATGCAACTCACATGTGTTGTATCGGGATTCATGGTAAAGATAGCTTCTTGAAAATTCCCAAGGAATGAATCCATGATTAAAGCACCAGAAGCCATCACAACACCAAGAATGCTAAAATTTGGTGAAATATTTGCATCCGCAAGAGTGAATAATATAATTATTTAGTTGTTTTATTCATTTTTTTGTAGAAAACAAGTATTTTACAGACGACAGAAGATCTTTGCCTTCTTCCCAAGTATCATAAGGCTAAAGAAGATAAATTTGGGGTAAACATTTCGTTTGATAGGTTATCTGATGCATATGAAGTGGGTGTAAACACCTTTCTAGAGTTTACACAAAGTAATGATCTAAATTCAGATCTTATTCGATGTCCTTATATACATTGTATCAATTTGTGGCACCACTCAATTCAGACCGTGCGCTATCATCTATTTGCCTCTGGCTTCGATGAAAGTTATAAGGTTTGGTCTTTTCATGGAGAAAGACAGCCTGAGGTTGATTATATATGCCCTAACAAATCTATTCCTCCTTACTTTGATTATACAAGAGATATGGTACATGATGCCTTCATAGATGTAGAAAAAGAACCCAATTCATTGAAGTCACTTCTTGAAGAATGTGAGAAGCCACTTTACGTAGGGTCAAAGTATAATTCACTTAGTGGATTATTAAAATTCCAACATATCAAGGGTCAATTTGGGTAGTTTGAGGCTAGTTTTGAAGTATTGTCAGGTGCCCTAAAAGATGTCTTACCATTAA